GATGCGTATGCACGCGGCAGCCGTCGTCTGCGTGATCATGTGCTTTTTGCTCTACATCCTCACGTCTCTGTTCGGAATGCTGGCCTTCGGCATTGGAGATCAGCAGAAAGACTCCCTGGTGAACTCCTTGAAGCCCGTTGGACACCACCCGCTTGTGGTGCTGACCATGCTGGGCCTGATGCTAAGCGTGCTCACATGCTTCCAGTTCCATGTCTACCCGGTGCGTCAGTTCGCTGCTTATCTGGTGCGACGCATCCGCAAGCGTGGCGCCAACACCGAGAAGGAGGACACGGTCATTTGGGGCAAAACGTTGACTAGGTGGTTCGATATCTTCTTCGCTCTCTTCAGCGTGGCCGTGATCATTTTCATTGCGGTGGTCGTCAAAGACCTGAGGACGGTGCTTCAATTTGTGGGGTCCTTTGCATCGGCCTACATTGCCTTCATCGTGCCACCCATTTGGCTCCTCCAGGTCCGACGCCGCTCTCCGAGCTTCCGCTGGTGCAAGGCTGAGACCCAGCTCTGTTTGCTGGTGCTCTCCCTGGGCTGCTTCTTCTTTGCATTCGGCACCTATACAGCGGTGTCGTCCGTGTAAGGTCGGGCGGTGCCAAGCATGCTTCTTTTGTGGGGGCCGATGCCGTCCGGTGTGCTGGGGCTTTGTGGCATTCTTAAGCTGCCGCTTTCGATCCCACAGTGCATCCACGCGTGCAGTGGCTCCTGTTGTACAGAGCATGCTGCCTGGGCTGGATGGAGTTCAACTCTTGGTATCTCCAGGCGCGAAGCCTAGCAGTCGCCTGGACCTTTGCTGAGGGTGCATTGTTTAGCTGCCGTTTAATGGCAGGAATTCAGACGTCATGAAAGTGAGGCGTGGCCAAGGGCAAGTCCAGTCTCTCTCCACCTCCTGTCTAAAAACGCTTGTTTTATTTGCCGCTGTTCGCCTGGCATCGAGACTGGTTCTGTGCCACACATCTTCAGATGTTGCACAGATGTCGAGAGCTTGGCCGCTCCACACTACACACTCATGTTCCAGCGCGGCATCAGCATATCTCCGGGCAGATCCTGCAAGTCAGACATGCAGGAACGGAGCGGAACATGAGAAAAAACGGATTCCGCTACTGTGTTTCAGCGGCTTGTTGGAGTGCGGATGATGTACTGCTTTCTGACCTCGTTTGGCCTCACTGGCCTATACAGTATAGTCCCATCGTCGCAGCGAGTCGTCCGTTTGCTTGCCACAGTCCTCGCCGAGCGAGAGATGAAGCAGAGTTGTCCGGTTGCAGCTGAGCGTTTCTGAGAGATGACAAGTCCTTTCGAGTCCAGTTAACTGTGCCTTGGGGGGCGCGCGTCGATGCTTCGCACGCGAACTCCGAGGCCTTCCGCCGGGGCGCCCTGGAGGCGCCGGAGCGTTGCTTTCAGTTTCTTTTTGGAGACGTCCTTGGAGTCTTATGGAGGTTGCAGAATGTTGCAGATGTTCATGGCGTGTTCGGGTCGTCTGGCAGTTCACTCAATGTAACGTTGTTTGGTTGTAGGCGTCAGTCTCATAGGTTGTATAAGTTGCATGAAGGTACGAGAGCTGCATGGTGCTTTAGCACTTTCGCCGCTTTCGCCAGCTAGTGACAGACTCGAGTCTCTGACTGAGTGAGAGAGAGAGAGAGAGAGAGTGAGTAGTGTGAACCGACGACCGACAGGGCGCATTCGTGCGCGAGGGCGGGGGCTTGCGCGCATGCCCTTTGGCTGTGTTGAAGAAGAGGGAGAGTCCACGTACGTACACTTCCTAATTCCTGGTACCCCGCTTCGGCAGGTGGAGTGTTACCTGTGTCCGCTGACCTCCCCCGAAAGCTCCACGAAATTTGGAGGGCCCTATGGGCCGGGGGGCCTCACCCGCCCCTTTAAGAAGAGACCGTGTTGATTGCTGGTCCTATCAGGGGTGTCGCATTGCTTGCGGGAAGCCTCGCGCGAATCAGCCATGTCAACCTTTTCCCTGAGGGCGGCCCCATACCCTCTACGGGGTGCCCCCCCATTGTGGGAGCAGGGAGTCGGCGCGCGTGTGCTCCGGCTATTGTCCCAATGGTCTGGAAGGAGCGGAGACATCATTGACAGGACGGATGGCGGGTATGCGGCGCGCTTCCCCAGCAGCTCAAGAATTTGCAGCCGAAGTGCGCTCATGCATCTGCGCATGTGTAGGGTTTAAGTGTTCACCACTAACCCTTGCGAAAGCAAAAGAGAGAGGGCGTGAATCACGGTCAACTTTGAAGTGCGAACCAGCAAGGGCTTTTACTGCTCCATGCGTTGCGACTTCTTCGCTTTAAATCCTCCCCCGGTCTTGTGCTTTGGACTAGCCCACGCATCCCGGTGGCTCTGCAGGAGCAACAGAAACGGCGGAACCGCCGAAGCGGCATGCCAGCGCGCACTTGGGCAAGGATTGGGGTTCGATCATGTTCTGGCGTCAGCTATTGCTATTCTCCAGTTTCGGTTTGCATCCAAAAGTACCGGTCGCGCCATAGCCACACTTCGATACGTATCTAAAGACATACTCGGGATGTAGTTTTGCTTCTCAGCCGAACACCGATCCTCTGCTTTGTTGCTGGTGCGCTCCTTGAGCCTCGAATGCAGGGTCCGGGCGCAATACAGTCACTGCAGAAATCAACAGCATGTATAGTCTCCCAGGTGAAACCTTTACAATGGTTGGTTGGAGCAGAAACCCGCATACCGTACTCAACCGTGAGCCAGGTATAGCTTCAATGGCCCTCTCCCTGTTTCTCGCTGTCTCGGTCTTTTTGCTTTCCTGTTCAGATAAGTTTAGATGACCATACCTCAGCGCTCACACACCGCGTTCCAAGGTCACCAGGCATGGCTGCCCGCGCACAGCGTGCCCAGGTGCCGGCTTCTCCGAAGGCGCCAGCGGTCCTTGGCACCTTGGCTCGAATGCACTGTTATTGTTGATGAGGGTTACTCTGATGGGGTTTAATGTTGCTGCTGATAATGACGATGCAGACGATTGCAATGATAATGCTACTACCGCTGCTGCTGATGATAAAGAAGATACTGTAATGACGCGATTGTCACGGGGATTGGCATTAGCCGAAGGCCCAGGAAGGGCCTGAGGGCTTGGGACATCTTGGGGCAGGCTGTGGCAGTTTCCGAATTTGTAGTTGCTTGGACAGCTCATTGTTCGGATTTCGGACAGTCTGGAGATCACGATCAATCATCTGTTATCTAAGCTAGACTGTCAAGGCCGAAGCTACACACGAGTAGCAACACCTGCACCACATAACTAAATGCCAAGCCTAGTTGCAGGTAGATTTGCTGACTTCGAGCGGGTGGTCTTGTTGCCGCCTTGTGCGACACACTGGTCACAGCAGCACTCGCCTGCTCCAGAGGAGAAGGACTTTTTCCAGACGCAACCTCAGTGGGATTTTCTCCGGTCTAACTAGGCCACCCGCGGTTTCCAGGCAGGGATGGCGGTTGGAGGGATAGAAAACAGGATGATAAAACAGGCGCTAATCCAGTAGTTGAGCTCCCCGAACATCTCTCGGTGGCAATTGTTCCGTTAAAGCATGGCGCATGATTCTTGATTGTTTTTTCCCGTTGCTGCGCTGTAGATGCAGGTAGGAGGTCCCTGGAATCCTTGGGTCAGAATTGGGATAGGTTGGCAGAACGACTCAACCATGATCCTCATGGTTCTCATGGCTCAGCTGCTGCATGTTCCGGTCATGATCGCGGTGGCGGGCCTTACAGTAGCTTGCCAAAGCTTGACCGCTACATTGCTAATTATGCTAGACACAGTGCAATGTCCAATTTTCTGGTTCGAAAACCTGCCACGAAGCTCCGTGAAGATCCTTTCCGAAGACTGCGAGCGATGGCCGCTGTTTTGCGCCACTCACCGCGTGCACGGGAGCCCGAGCTGCAGCTCCTGCAGCGTGCTCCTAGCCAGACTACAGCCTTAGAGTCTTCCCGCATACCTGCTCCATAGAGTGAACAGGAGGGATGCTGGGCATGATTGCTGATGCTACGGGTCCGCATCCAGTGAAGTCCCCATTGCCTCAGCTGATGATTCAATCCTTGCAACTCCTTAGGCAGCCCACAGCCTCCTCCGTAAGGTTGTCAGCGATGCCTGCCGAGGGTATCTCGCTTGGCCAAAGGAGCCGGCAGACCTGACATCACGCATCGCCGAGTTAATCGGCAAGGACCGAAACTGTTGCTTTTGCAAAGCACAAGCACCTGCAACCCAGCGCTCCGATCCAACCCAATGTCACATCCTGCATAGGAGCGGCCGGACCTTTTTGTCCTGGTACTTCCTGGGCCCTGCGCGGCGGATGCCCAGGACTGCCGCTTCTCAAGGCGGTTTCCTTCGTTCCTGAAGAGTGACGTACGCAATCATTGATGACTTCGGGACCCGGTGAGACTGAATAAACAATCGCCATTCCCCTGGGACTGTTGGCATCTTAGGAACATGAGCAGCTCATGCACAGCTACACCGCTACACAGGCACACACGCATACTCTCTCTCACCGCGCGACTAACAAGTTCAAAGATGAGAGCCGAAGGCCATGTCAACATGCTTTTTGCACAAAAGTCTCTGACTGCGAACGAGCTGCCCAGGACATGTTTGGAGAAGGGTTTGACATCTTCGCAGAGCTACAGGTCTGCACTTTAAGGGGTTCCTCCGTCTCGAAGCTTGAGGACCACAGCTTCTGATGCCGTGCTGTAGGCCACATGGAACCACCAAGCTCCAGGGGTACTTGGGTGAGCGGACGCCCACCCCAACATTCAACTGAAAATCGAAGGCAATGTGAGAGTCAAGCATCGGAATGGCTTCGCCAGCCCAAAACTGAGAACATCTAACCGTGAATCCAACCTGAATCCTATAGTGACTCTCTCGAACTCGTAGAGTTCTGAAGCTGCACTGCCGTCATGGCCTGTCATCTTTTGGTAACATCGCTGGGCCTAACGTTCGCCTTTGTCCCAGAGCTGGTAGTGTCTCTTCGGAAGTTCGACATGCAGAATCCGGTTCCGTAGCGGGTCGTCTCTTGATGCTTCGGGTCGTCTGCTTGATGCTTCAGACGTCCAGGAATAGAGAGTCATGTATTTCTGTCGGCCCCCCAGGTGCAGCCACAGCTTGTTGCGATCGTGTTGGCAAGGACTATTTTCATAGAGCGCGAGCTAAGCGGTCGTGCAAGGCATTTAGAAAAGAGCGTCGGGAGTAAGATGTGTCGGATTCGTACACTAGCACCCTATGATGCTGCAGCATCTGTGCCTAACATGTAACCAGCATTTGCACATGGTCCAGCACATCGCAACACCCAGGAAAGATGGCGTGTATCATCATGGTCCTAGTCAGCCTTTGCACAACTACTAGTTGCTTTGCTACAGACCGTGTTGGGAGATTGGTGGTGGCGTCAGTGGTGGTGGTGCAGCAACATCTCAAGAAGCTATCGAATATGGCATGCAACTTATACCACAGCAATCTAAGTTGGCCAGCATATAAAGCTGAAGACGCGATAGTGCTGATACTCGGGCGCGGCGCAGTACAGGGTTATGCCAGGCCAGCTTTTCCTGACTTCCTAAGTGCCACAAAAGTCCGCCTCATACCTGATTAGAGCTGTTTGCTGCGAGTGCCAAAAGAGATACAGTAAAGGTGAAAACAGTCGCAATACAACGCTGAAAGCATGACTTTGACCTGCCACAACGTGTGCCCCATCGGCCGGAAACCTTCAGCCCAAGGCCTGCATGGCCTAAATCCTACCGGACTCCCTGTCGCGGTTAGCAGCATTACACTATCCAAGATTGTTCAGCTAGCTGAGCCTGTTAAGCCATGTTGAGAAAGCATAGCTTTCACCAAGCATGAGCATTTTAATTGCACTGTTAGCCTTCAACCAAATTGCTGTGCACAAACTTAGCTCGAAGTGCATGCAGAGATCTTACTTGTAAGAGTCTGCCTTCCCACACTTCAACTATTTGAAGAGGATGCCTGAAGGATCACGACTTGAAATGGCAGAGTTATACAAGGTGTTACGACTGAGGCAACAGATGCTCTGATTATCTCATGCTAAGTCCAAAGAGTCGCGTGAATTTTGATCTGCTTCCGACCCTGCTTGGATGCAGAGCAAACTTTTGTATGAAAACGTCATCTTCAGAAAACTCATCCCTAAACCCTAATTCAAAAAACACCTCGCTGGTGGGCATAGTTCCTCAGCCATGCGAGAGGGAAAAAGACCCAGGAAATTGAACCTGAAACGCAGGAGCTCAAAGGCTGGGCCATCGGCAGCACCATCGCCGTTGGCGCCCCAGCAGGACGCTAGCCGCGGGGCCGAGGCCAAAAGGGGAGCTTTAATTCGGGGTGTTTAGATCACCGTAGTCCCTCGCGGATCTGACCTGGGTTTACGGTTCAGCGTGGCTTTCGTTTGATTTCTGATTGCTCTGCTTTTGTTGGCCGCGAAGCTGTTGGAAGTTGGGCATATTTGAGCCCCCAAGCTTCAGAGGAGCTCGGCTTGATCTCGTGCGCAGTTTGTTTGGCGGTCACGGCGGACGGATGTGCAGTGCAGCTGGTAATTCGGTGATTGGTACCACCCGACGTCGAACCCACCCGAAGCAGGGTTGCAGATCTCGCACGGAGGCAGCTTATCACCAGGGCGGGGTTCAGCATAATCCGTCGGCGCAGACAAAGGAGGATGAGGATGAGCTTCTGCGTTGGCGACTCCAAACCTCGTGAACTAAATTGAACCATCCTCGCGGGGTATAGCCCGAGAGTGGAACGAAACCTCCGAGTGCTCGCAGGTTCTTCTCCACACGGTGCGAGGCGGCCATGCTGCTCAGATGCAGCGGGCCGTGTCCGCTGCCCTCCAGGCGGGATGTCACATGCAGATTCCAGTTGACTGACCGGGGTCCGTTTGGTCTGGTATGGCTTGATTAGCTTCAGGTGAGTCTCGTTGCCCCAGGTGTTTGAACGAACTTCTGCGAGTCCGCCCAGAGCGACACTCATGTCGGTCTCTGTTGCATTGATCAGAACTCAATCTTCCTTCACAACCTCAAAAGCACCCCAACCTTGCGAGCAATGCCCTACTCACGAAAGGCTTATGCTACTACTATACGCGCCAAGTCAGACCAACGTCCCATGCTCAGAAGCCTGAAGCTTTACGGACCGTACATACCAAGCCTAACCCGAGTTTCAGGCAGTCTGCTTGGGTGTGTGGGAGCTTGCCAGCTGTGCAGGTTGAGGAAAGCCAAGGATCCAGAGCCTCAGAGTGACTTGGGCATAAAGACAATGAGCAAGATAACGATATCCAGGATAATAATGACCACAATCTTCTTCATCGTGATGATGGTGGTCAAGAGTTGCACCTCGACTGCGCATGTCAACAGCCTCCTAAACGATGTTGGCGCTTGTAGCTTCGACTTCATGCTTCCAAGCCACAGGCTGTTTGCCTGCCAGCTGTCGTTATGAGAACTGGAAGGCTCGTACTTGGGGGGAATTGTCCTCCAAGATTTCCTGACGCAAAGCTTTCGCACCGACCATCGAACGGTCAAATAACGGTCAGACACGAGGCTACGTAGGAGCGCAAGTCCAGTGATCGACAGATTGAAACAGGCGAAATATTGTAGGATGATTAAGGTCATATGAGTTCGAGGATTACATATGTGCGGCATCGACTAAGACTAAGAGAAAGCCACGCCGTCTTTGTCGTGGGCTTTGACGGAATGTCAAGGCCTGTCTTGCCAGAGTTTCCGACATCGAAGCGCGAAACCGCAAACGGGGTGCAAGAATTGAAATTGTCGAGTCACAGGCTCAATACTAGGCGCCCACGTGGCCTTTTCCATGCCCTTCCTCATCATGCAGCTGAGGTGTTACTTCGCGCTCGCTCGCCTGTTGGATTTCAAGGCGCCGGGGGGGATGGGGCAAGCATAGCGTGTCTGTCGCAGCAAGAAAGCTTGGTCCCCAATCTGCCCATGCACATGCCTTTCGAACAGTTGCAACGACGCGCTGTTCCTTTGCCATCTCCCGAGGCGTGTTTTAAAGCAATGTGGAAGCTGCTCCGAACACGCGAATCCTAGGCATATCTATGCCGTTGCTAAGTCTCCGAGAAACAAGCTGTCAAGAAGTCACCACCGTGTGCTTCTCCAGCTGGACCTCTTCGTCCTCTGGCGCCGTGCATCGGCACCGGCGAGCTCCTTCAATGCGGCCGGGGAGCGCCTGGCGCTGCGTGTGGGAAGGTGGCCCCTATGGGAGTTTTCGAAAATACGGGGGGTACCTTATATTTGGGGTCCTTATAATAAGGATCCTACTATTTAGGGTACTCTGAAACCCCTATATGGCTGACGTTTGATACTGCATGCACCGGTGCTCGCCGGGTTTGCAGGTTTGGGTTACTGTTATAAATCATCGAACCGTTCTTGGCCGTGGCCTCTTGTGAAAGACTCGCTCAAACCTCAGATAAAGCCGTAAGTCTCAGGCTCTGTGCATTCGAGGGAGTTCCGAAACTGAATGGGCTTGCTGCAAGGCTGTTTCATTGTCCCTTGCTTTCGCACTCATGCACAAATGACGGAGGCTAAAGCTTCAGTAATTCGCGAGAGATAACACCGGTCCTGCAGTGCTCGACTGCATGCTCGCCTCGTTTACATCTCAACCAGTCTCAAGGCGAGCCTTGAATTTCATGCGATGGAAGGGCTGGAGTAACGGTCCGCCTCATACAGCTGCCTGGATCCGGTAGCGAGCCCCAAGTCTTAGTGTGAGGGTGATGCAATAGAATTGCAAGAGCAAGCGGATGAAACAAACGGTCGCGTGTGGTACCGTATGTCTTCGTCCTCTCTGCCCGCTTCTTCGCAGTGCCGTGGTCGACATCTTCATCTTTGCGGACATGCTGGAGCCTACCAAGATCGAGAAGAGGCCTTGCCGAAGGTGAGAGTCACCACGTGTGCCCTCGCATCGTTACAGATCATCTGAAGAGTCTCCAGCAGCGAAGCACCGCAGTGCTGGATTTGGTGACTGTCTAGAGGCTTCACCGTTGTTGGCAAGTCCTTCTGTAAGATCCTCTGGGAACACGTTTTGAGCTCGAGGGTTTCAAGTCTCACACCTTCTACGTATTTGGTGACTCATGTCTCCTGATGCGCTTCCCGCGACAACCAAAACTCCTTGCTCAGACTCAGATTCAGCACAAGGGACTTCAGTCACCCAAGCCTGTCGCCGTGCCATTCTCATTCAACTTTACCGAGTATCAATTTGAGCAGGCTCGCCACACCAGGCATGTGCCAGTCTTCAAGTCCCTGGCATTCAACCTGCTAGAGTCTGAAAGAAGTCGAGATATCGCATGACTGAATCAGACAGAGTTGAAGTTCAGAGACGAGGAGCACCAGGACAAGTTGTGAACGTACGTGTGCAGCATGATGCAGCAAGCAACGCTGCTGATGCAGCCAATGTTTCGGGTCAAACTTGGGCTTTCCCTTATTCCCCGGGCTCCGCACGATAGGTGCTGTTGTGTAGGCAGGTGGCAGAATCCATCGCGCGATCTTTTCTGGACCTGTGCATGAAGCGCGCGCGTGGTCTGCCAGCACATAAGGACGTGCCAGCTCTTGGAATTTGCTCTAATTGGTCCGGGAAAGATACATGAACGGACGAATGCTTCGCAGAGGCTGGTGCTGGCACCCACAGGAGCTGGCAAGTCTACATGGCGCACCCACGCGCCCGTGTTCTGTGCCTCCACCTGCACCTTCATTGAGATTTCTTCACGGCTAGTGTAGGGGAGGACATCGACGAGTTTTTGCAGGTCGGTAGCACACATGGGTCACTGGAGCCTTTAGCCGTTGGCTCCGATTCTGTGGATCCGAGGCCCAGAAGGCGAGGTTCTGGATGAAGTGACCTTCCATCCGGCCTACCACAGGCTGGTTACGGTTCTTGAGCCTTGTGATGTGGCCGTCAAAGCTGTTGGTTCCGAGGCCCGAGCCTTTCGCTTAGCTTACCGGGTGCCGCATGCAATTGTTAAATTTGATTGAACGTCCAGGATGATAACTTTCGATGTTGAGTCTAGGTCCTTTAGGTGCTCGGTCGGCCATCGAGGTTGCTTAGGCTGGAGTTCCCCCTGTCTTCAACCAGGCTTGGCAAGGGTCACACCTCCCGTTGGGTTCTGAGGGGCTGTTCTTCGCCTTGGCCAGGCCTGTCCGGCTCAAGCACGGAAGCTGGCTTACGAGCGAGGACCCGTGTGCTGTGTCCCTCTGGACTGTTCGGTCAGTATTCACATCTTTTTATTTTCGATGACCTCCGGCCTGCACATGTCATAGCATGCCATCGAGCATTTCCGAGGAGCACCTTTTCCCTGTCACATGGCCTCGCTGCATTAGTTAGCTAACTGCCTGGACAGCAAAGATCGTCAGAGCACTGCTAACGATTGTCTGCTGGTTCGGACCATCAGAGACCAAGCACAGCCTAAGCTGGGGGAAAGGTTTGCGTCGAAGACTACAGAAGAGCACGCGATCTTCGGGATAAATAGCCCCATTTATGTGCAAGCCAGACCTGAATTTTCAAGCAAGTGGAAGCTGTGTTAGCATTTGCCCCCAGGCCCAGAAGCTGAGAGCTTTCAGCATCCAACTTGCCATCGTCCTTGCTTCCGCTCTTTCTTTGCTGCCTTCCATCAGGAGTACTTGCTATCGCTACGTCTCAGGATGACACTCCACATCCCATCCTGACATTTTGAAGGAGCCCGCACCCGCGATCTTCCTCCGGGATCTGCGGCTTCTACGACGATGGCTTCGTGCAGACAGCCGTCGACGGGTGACATTCAACTGCAGCGGCGAGGCGTCCGGCACAGTGGGTCCCAGCTCCCAGTAGTTCCGGCCAGGACTGACGAAAGAAACAGCAGGATTCCAACAAGGTGGTTTGGTACCTTTTTTTGGCCATCCCCGTCCTTTTGTCCGGGAGTATCCCGTGAGTTGTGACTGACTTGGGCAGGAAGTGCCTGAGTCTACCTGTTTGTCAGTCCTGGCGAAACCCTGCCGGAATATCATCAATGACTATTTTGGAAATTTCAGCATGAGAGAAGTACCGACATGATTCCTCCCCCTGATCTGAAACGGCCGGGGCCCCCCCCCCACCCCCCCTCCACAAGACAAGCTCGAAACGTGGCGTCATTGTTAGGGGGGGTGTTATTTCTATTGTCACTTTGTGGGGATCTTGCTGTGCTCCTGCCCTTGCTCTAGTCTGCTCTTGCTCCTACCTGCTGTTCCTGCTCGTGCCCCTTATCTTGCTGCTCCTGATCTAGCTCTTGCTCCTGAACTCCCCTGCTTCAGAAGTAAGGTATGCTGCAGCATACCAAGCGAAGGTGCTCGAGACGGCCTGCGAGCTAAAACTCCTCCGGCCCGAGGAGGTGTGCGTCGTGCTCCCGCACGAGGTCGTGGTGAATGATGCAGGAATTATAGGGTTCAGCTCAGCTTGGAGCCGTAGATTGTTTTGTAAGATTCGGGGATTGAATTTTAAAAGTATTGTTTATATGTTAGTGTCTCGGGCTCTGTAAGTTTACCAGGGAGAGCTCAAGGCTCCAAAGAATTGATTCACAACACATGGGAGGCGGCCAAGCACCATTGTCTAGCTCGGTGTGTGCTGCTGTTTTTCTCCGCCTCTCTATGGGTGTCGGAGTTGCTAGTTTTTGGACTTACATGATAGTGTTGGAAAGTAAAATTGGGCCAAAAGAGCTTGGGATGGAAGAAAAGCTTGGCGGTTTGGGCCCAAGCTTCCGGCCAGGTGGTGCACCACCGCTTCATTTCCGCTCGAAAGGCTGCCTTGGATGGAGTTCCCAGGCCGGTGGCAGGTAGGAACAAGAGTCAAAAGAACCTTTTTGGCAGGTTGCTTGCAATGTGTTGCTGGCACAGCTTGAAGCTCCAAGGGCTCGTGCTTGTTGCCAACTTGCCAAGCGTAAGGATTTGCCGTTTTGTTTGTAGCATGTGGTGACTATAGCGAGCTGTTTTGCACGAACGATGGCCCGCCACAAGTGCTTCCCCACATAGACGTCTGGCTACTGTTGCTGCTGCTCGTCCTCCCCGTCATGCCCCCATCGCCACCACCGGCATTGACAGCGCAGCTGCTTGGATAGCGCTTGCTTCTGCTGGTGCCGAGAATTCTGCGGACGACCGAAGCCACCGAGATCACTCACCACAACTACCTCAGCCATCAGGACCAAGAAACTCAAGGTGGATCCGTCGCTGTCGCAATGGGAGGCGGGACCGCAGCTGAGCCTCAGTTGCCTTTAGTTTCTCGACCACAAACCTCCAGGCATAGGCTTAATTACTGCAGTTTCACGGGAGGGTTGCGGCCGAAGGGCTTACCTCAAGCATATAACATTGAAAGTTGAAAGCTGCTGCTCGGGTTCGAGTGTTGGGCCCAAGCTCTTTGGGAAGGTTGCCTTCCGCTTATGTGATATCAAGTGGAGTTGAAGTAGCTGTGATTTGTCTTGAGTCTTGGGTCAGATGAGCCCACACTGGATCTGCGTACTTACAGGCAGTGGTTGTAGCTGCGCCGCGCAGCATGGCTTGAAGCCTATGGAAGTTGCCATGTGGACGGAGCATTTGATGGAGAGTTCGGTGCTTCGGTGTATCACACAGAGGATTTCAGAGCAACCCTGATCCTGACCCAGGAATCGGGAAATGCTGCGGACTGCAGCTGAAAAGTGCGGCATCAGCGCCGCGCCAAAACTCAGTTTAGCATTAACACAGTGTTCAAGTTCAGGAATCTGTTTAACCTGCCTTTTGCCACAAGCACTGCAGCAATTTGGCACGTGGCCTACTGTACCACAGCAAACCAAAGTCAGCGAGGTGCCTACACCTCCTTCGCTGGGGCAATGGGTGCTTCAGTCCACATCTTTTGCATGCTCAGGACAGCGACAGAATTCTGGCGATATGCACGCCCATTTTGCTTCTGGCTTCCTTCAAACCAGTCGTGGGCTTTCATCATCGCAGATGTTCAATCAGGGTTTACCTTAACTTATAGGAGCCGATATAGTAATCAGCCTACTTGTCTCCAGAAGGTATGTTCACTTTTTTGGGCGTCTCGGACTCTGGATTTTCACGGGTTTGGGAGGATGTCCTAGTACGGGTTCAAACAAGGGCACCGTCAATTCATCTAGCAACGACACACGGGTTCATCATGTTTCCATTCGCCCCAGGTGACTTTGTGATGTTCATGATCTTTTCTGCTTTGGCCTTGCCTTGGGCCCATGATGCTCATGACTATTCCTTTGCCTGGCAGCCAGAGAGAAGCTTTTCGCATTCGGCGATGATGGTGATGCCGCCCTTGGGCAATGATGCTTTCCTTTGGGTTGACCTGGAAGTGATAATGATGCTCATGATGTTTTCCTAGATGTGGCCTGTGCAAAGCTCTGCGTTTGCTTTGCAGCCATTTGTTTTGCCCTGCTTCGGCAATGATGTCTTTTTCCGTTGCAGCCTCTACCGCAGGCCACCGGCGGTCCGAGCCGACCTGGTCTGAAATAGGCAATAGGCCCCAACAAAATGAGGGTGGGGACCTACCACGCGGCGGACCCTCCCCACAAATATCAACGGTGGTGGCAATGGTCGTAGCAGTCGTCCTCGCCGCAGCAGTAGCAGCGGCAGCTGCAGCAGCGGCAGCCGTAACAGTAGCAGTAGCGGTCGCAGTAGTGGTAGTGGTGGCAGCAGCAGTCGCAGAAGCAGTACTAGCAGCTATAGTTACTATAGCACTAGCACTAGCACTAGTCGTAGTGGTAGCCGTGGTGGTAGTGTAAGTAGTAGTGACTGGCAGTGGTTGTGGTAGTAGAGTAGTAGTAGTCGTCGTCGTAGTCGCCAGCAGCAGTAGCAGCAGCAGCTGTATAGTAGTCTTCGTCGTCGCACTTTACGGGTTGTTGGTGCTGGCGGAGGTTTGCGGATTGCGGAGGGAGGGCCGGGGGTGGGGGAGCGGGGTTGTGGCGGCCGCCCTCAGCGAATGATGGTCAGGATGCTGATGATGTATTGTGAGGTCCTCATTTCCCGGCAGATCCCAGCAGTACATCCTTCGGACCTTCGGAGGAGACATCAAGGCTCCAGCGAGGAGCCCTTCTTGGTGGAGCCGGCGTTGGAGCAGTGCAGGGCTCGGAGCACTTGGACTTGTTGTTTCAGCCTGCCAGCTGCGGATGAATTGCTCGGATCATGCACTTAGCGAGATGAGAGACCAGGAACGGGCAGAAACCGCTGCGGCGTAAGATTTGATTGATTTAGTTCGCTCTTGCTACATGCCGCATCTGAAACATACTGGGCCTTGCATTACACAAACCAGCAGCAATGAACCCAGGAGCGGGAAGGAAGGATGGTCCGCGAATGGACGCTCGAACAATTTGACAGTTTCCTGAAAGGGCAGCACAACCCCCATCAGACGTTTGAATCAGCCCAAATCGATGTTGCTCCAAAACTGTGAAAGTCAGCGCAGAAATAAACCGAATCTCAGATGGGTGGCAAGCGGAGAGCAGGAACTCTTTGTGGGGTGCTCTGGCTTCTGTTCATGGTATGACCGTCGCAGCCTCTTCCGCCTCCTCCGAGGCTCCAGGCCAAGCACGACCTGACCATGGCCTGTGGCCGGCGTATCGTCGACTGGAAGCTCGTCGGGGCGATCTTGCAAAAGCAGACAGGGTGATATTGTGGACAACAATAGCCACGGCACACACACACACACCAGAGCATTTAGAGCACGGGAGAGCGCTAAGCGGTAAGTGTGTACCACTTTGCTCGTCTGGTTGGGGTCGGGGCTGACAGTGGAGAATCTGTTCAGGCCGCACCATGAGATGGCCACCAGAAGCGCAGACTGTCATGCGAACTGGGGTCAGGCTGCAATAAATCCCGCAGTTGGAATCACTTGTAGCTTCCACACCCCTGTGAGAGCTTGAATCTGCTACAGTGCTACTGAGGATCAGCAAAGGCGGCAGCGTTGCTGAGTCCAGCCACTTGCTTGTGACATCAGACCAGAGAGTGAGCTACTTCAAATAAGGCGTCAAAAGCCGAGCGATCTCAGAACTTCTTTAGCCAGGTGTAGGCTGCCTAGAGAGGGCAACGGGCCGAAGGTTGATTACGCTGAAGCAGATGCAGAACATCACAATTACACGGTCTCAGTGCTTCAATCAAGAAGTCCGAACAGACATATTCCCGGCACTGGCACTCCTGGGCAATGGACAGGAGATAGAATGAGAGAGATAGAGAAGATATACATATACACATACACACACATGTATACTTTATTTATTTATGTATAACGGACGCAGTTCGCTGCTACAAGCCGTCCCAAGAACTGCACTCATAAATTCATGCCCACGGCACCCGTAGAAGCTGGAAGCTCTCTGTTCCAGGTGACCTGCAGGGAGCCGGTGAGCGAGCAGTCTGGCAGGTGAGCGCAGAGTTTTGCGACGCTCGGCATGAAGGAGTTCGTTGCTTTTTTTGTTTTGAGGGGGGGGGGGAGGGTTCGGGTTCAACCTAGTTTGGACAGGGGCCAGCACGGGAGGGGCGGGCTGGGGACTTGGTCCTTGCTTGCGGGGCAGTCTTTGTTGTGTACTCTCCAAAGACCGGCAGATTTGCCAACGAAGTATCTGTGGCTCTCATAGAAAATCAGCCTGCGTGTTCAGCCTGAGCCTTTTGGCGAGTTGATCTCTGCCGTTCCATCTCTGTCAAGGTGAAGGTTGTAGGTGACTCAATAGGTGACCTTTTGTCAAACCAGGGTTAGATGTGAATTCTGATTGACACATTGGTTGACGCTCCACCGATCTACCCGCGATCGAAGGAACCACCCGCTGAGCCAAGGACTCAGACACCTACATCGTCAAGAGCACATCTGGCTTCCTTCTGCTCACGGATGGGCGCACCCTGATCAGTGCAGAGGCCGGGCAAAGCATTGCGGATGGGTTTAAACAGCGAATGCTGGCGCAGCGCGGACAGGTGGAAGCGCAGTTGCTGCATCAAGAATCAAAGAGCATCAGTTTTCTTGGATACTTGGCCCAGCTTCAGGATCCTTATCGGGAAGCTTCTGAAGTCTTCTGGTCCCGGTCTTCTGACGAAGCAGAGACGGCGGAAGAAAGTTTTTGGCTCTGCGGCCGCGATGCTGGGCTGTGTCTCGGCAGGTTGGAGTGCCATTTAAAGCCCTTCGGCTTATGTCAGGTCGCCATTCATACTCAACGATCGCGCAGTCTAATTTAGCATGGCCCATGGCCATCCATGGCCCATAGCTGTAGCCTTTGGTAAGATCCAGGGTCTCCTGGTGCTTTCAGGCGCCTTCATGCCCGACGGTGTACGGGATGTGCGTCCTTCGACCCACCTGGGCCATGGAGGCCTGCGATGCGGAGGTTTAGGATCGCTCGGCTTCAGGGATCTCTGCAGCCCTCGTAGTTTGACAATTTGAATTACAGCCATCCTGGAGGCACGTGCTTCGCGTGGACCGCTTGGCAGACGAGGCACGCAGCGCTCAAAAGGGCGGCAGTCGACACTTGCTGTGGTAAATTCTCTGACAACTCCAGGGCGATGTCATCCTGTGGTACCCGGGATCTTTCGCGCCCTTCCACGTGGGCCATCTGGATTGCTTGACGCTTTGGCTGCGAATTCACTTCGAATAGATACGTCCCCCTGTTTCTTCTGAGCCCCAACAGGCTTCTCTACTCACTGAAACGCCCTTTCATAGCCAAACAGAAGAGCTTGATAAGGTTTCTTCTCGGTAAGTTCCGTGGGCCAGAACTGAAGACGCAGCGCATCCGAGGGTTCGTTTTGGCATGTCGGTTTCATTGAGTGCCGACGTGCCACCTTGTGCAAGACTTTCATGCGGCCACCTCTCCCACAAAGTAAGGGGATGTTGAGGGTGGTGGGAATGTAGCCGTTTTGCAACTACCGGCTGTTTGGGCCCTCGCAAGTCTGGTGTGCTGGCGGAGAAGCTCGAGGTTTCAGAACGGGTCAAGGAATTTCAGGTTCACCAACTACAAACCAGATCATGCTTGTTCTGTTGTAAGGACCCCCTTTGTGACGATGTGGTTGCTGCCAGATTCCGTCCGACTGATGTGAGCTTCAGTTCGAGAAGATAACACCAAAACCTCAAGACTGCACAGGATCGAGCTATAAGCTGTTTCCATTTTCCCTGAGCCAGGCATATGATTCAGAAGATGATTCAGAAGCCTATATCAGGGATCAGAGCCTGTGGCACGTGTCATTCTGCAATGTTTTTGGTTTTGTTGTGCTAGCTGCTAGTTCGACAACACGTCTCCGACAGCCGAACACCTAGTGGACCTTCTTCATTGGATGTGCGGATAAAGCTCAGTTTGCCCAAAATCAGGCCTCTTGCAACCTCGAGTGTGAAGCAAGTTTCTTGAATGTGCAGCAACGGCCATTTCTCTGCAGACTGTCAGACAGTAAGTACATGGATCAGGCGAGCTGCACGGCATGGGCTTCAACAAAGCGGCATAAAAGTTGCAGGCCAGTCCGGCACATGCTTCAGTCGTCCTTGGATTAAACTTTACGTGTTTGGAATTCGTTTGGGCTGCCAAGACACACTGACTGCCACCGTGCATCCATCGGTGCGAAGCACCGCATGCACAACGACTTCATTGGCGGTATGTTGGGTCTGAAAAGCTATTGGAGTTCCGTCCCTTCGACACAAGCTTCCCTGCACGGTTCCCAAGCGGTCTAGGAGAGTCCGGCCAACAGTAGCCAGCACAAACGTGTGTAAACATCAAGATTTAAACTGGGAGCCCCAGCGTCAAGGACTTGGGGGCGGCAACGTGTTACGACAACTCGAACAATGTGTCGTCATGGCTGGTTTTCGAAGAATGCCGATTCAGTAGCTGCAGGTGCCTATGCAAAGCCCCAGATGCCACGGAGCTTGCGATATAAGATGCTCGGACCAGATCACACGTCTTCAGAGTGCGATTGCAAGCAAGGGCCTGCCATGACAAGGCACAGGACATGACGTACGGGGCGGTCTGGGTTTTTGTTCGACTCGGATCGTGTCTTTCGGCCTTGCCGTGAGTGTTGTTTTGTGAAAGAGCCTTTGGAAGCGACGCTGCGCACATGTTTCGGCGGCCCCGGTTAGTTGCGAGTGCTGCGTAGACAAGGCGTAGTCATAAAATCCGGCTGCAAGGAAGCTAGACGAGCATGGGGCATCGATCTTTTCTTCCGGCCCCGTCCGACTGCGACTTCTGGAGCTCGTCGCTGCCCAAGAGGACCTCGCTTCATGCCGAGGGTCGACAGCCCACATATGAAGTCATAGTGACCATGGGCAAGATTTGCACCCGATGGCCCTGAACAGAGCGAAGTTCGAGACTGCACAAGTCTGCTCAATGTTCGTCAGAAGTATTTAAGTCGTCAAACTTATCAACTATGACTATGACAGTTGGCTTTCAGTACAGTGCATCTCCTGGATAAGACATGCCAGCTTCCAGCGTTGGGTACCCCTCATTTCTCAACTTCCTTTCAGTTTTGACATTTCCGTATTTCTCAGCTTCCGAATCGTTGGGCACCCTTCATTTCTTAGCCATTTCTTAGCTGGGGCTGGAGCGCTTGGAAGTCCGTCAACTGAGCCAAAAAGGCCTTAACCATTAGGCCAGGCAGACACCGCCAAGGCAGTTTTGCGGTACACTTTAGCCTTCAGTGACTAGATGCAACTGCCAGCACTTCATGGCACACCAGCTGACACACCACAGTTGGGGAGCTACGCTACACTTCTTATTTTGGCTCCTGCCGCGTGCCTTACACTTAGGGCCTGGGAACCACCCAAAATAAGAAACGTAGCCCCCTACATTTCTTATGTTGGCTCCTGCCGTGTGCGCTAGGCTGAGGGCTTGGAAACCACCCAAAATAAGAAACGTAGCCCCCTAACTATCTTCGTGTTGGCTTCTGCCGTGTGCCCTAGGCTTAGGGCCTAGAAACTGTCCAAAGTAAGAAACGTAGCCCCCTACATTGCACAAAATAGGAAACGTAGTCCCCTACATCTACATTTCTTATTTTGGTGGCTCCTGCCGTGTGCCCTAGGCTTAGGACAAAATAAGAAACGTAGCCCCTGGCTCCTGCCGTGTGCCCTAGGCTTATCGCCTGAAAACCACCCAGAATAAGAAACGTAGCCACCTCATTTCTTAAATTGCCCTAGGTTTAGGGCGTGGAAACCACCCAAAATAAGAAACGTAGCCCCCTATGGAAACCACCCGAAATAAGAAACGTAGCCCCCTACGTTTCTTATTCTGGCCTCTGCCCCACGCCCTAGGGTTAGGACCTGGATATGTACTTATACTACTTGTACAGTCCACAGCTCCAACAAAATCGTTGCTGCCGTCCTCCACTTGCATCGGACACACATGAGACATCACCAGGCCATGATAAAGCGCAACATGTACCCAAAGTCTGTTGGCAGCGCTATATCCGAAACCCTTGAAGCTTGAACCGTTGCAGGAAGTGCGAAAGCTAAAACCCCGAACCGAACTCGGCAAGCTGCAAACCCAAGACCCGCAAAAAGGTTGCCACCTTCCTTACCGAAAGCTCCGGCCCGTATATAATTTACGCCAGAAGCCTCGTGAGCCCTACCCTTCCTCCTGATCCCGCTTGAATTCGAGGACTGGGTCATGGCGGACCCTTACGGAGTACTTCGTGGGACTGGGAACAATTTCCAGGACCTTCGAGCCTTTCGTGCCTCGAAGCGGAGGTTTGGACTTGAGACTTGAGATTTTTGAGGACGAAGAGATGCTTCAAGTGCTGACCGAAGCATTGGCGCGGTCTTGCTAGGAATTGGAGGACCTTTGAGGACACCGACAGGTCGGTACCACTTCAATGTAGCGGGGTCTGCTACTCGGGCAGTTTGCAAGTCTTACAGTGAGGGGAACCCTAACTTGGCCATGCGGCTCTTGCAAGCTCTTTGGCCCACCATGCAGGTGCCAATTTAACGGCATCGCTTGCGCGACTGGGATCAGGCGCTCGTTGTCTCGAGACATATATTATTCTGTCTGTGCGTCTGTCTGTTTGTCATGCATATGCTGAGTGTGTACACGTATGTGCAAGTGCATGCAGATGCCCATCATCGGTTGCTTGCACCTTTGCACCTCGCTCCTTCAACTTCCTCTTGCAGCCTCCGCCGGAGGTCGTGCAGAGTGGGCATCCTCTGTGGAGATCGTTTGGGTAATCGGGGATGATGCCTTTCCACACCTCAGAGACAAACTTCTCAGCAGGCTCGCTCCTGCAATTAACACAAGTTTCCTCGTGGTCATGAGAGTAATTCTGCTGCTCCGCAGCTGGTTTATGGTTAAGCGCACCATAGACCCTGCGCAGGGGTTCGTTTCTTCAGAGCCAGTCGGTCCTGTAAGCCGGATTCGTGCAACAGTCCATGAGCTTAATCCTTCGGGCAAGCAGTCGCCTTTCGCAGGGAGGACGTGCCCAAGGACGATGCCCTGAAACAGGTTGGATTGCAGGGTGTGGCAGTTTGCTTGAAGTTCCGCGGGTTGTTAACGCTTCTTGGAAAAGAGTGTGTGGTTTGTTCTCCTACTTTTTATTTGGCAGGGCCTCGGGAACTTTGGCTGAGGCGATTCTCTCAAATCTTTAGACCCGGGTCACGATACCATCTGGGATTCGATGTGTAGTTGGCCCATGCAACAACTGGAGGTGGGCCCCATGCGGCCCTCTGGCAAGCATCGAGTTCGAGGGTGGGCTGGGAGAAGCGGCTCAGGGCCGAGAGGGGTTACAGAACATTCCGGCTCAGAAGCTTCACAGATGCAGACGTGCTGGGACAAGTAGGCATCTACAGTATACCAGTCTAGACCTGGCTGCTTGATCACGGAGAGTATGTGTGCATGCGGCATGGGGGTGCCTGCCGGTCGCCGAGGATGTGTGTCGTGCACAACAGACCCTCCCAGTGGATACTCACCTGCAGCAGAAGAGGTCGGTCTGTGTTGAAACTCACGGAGAAACTCACGGGACAAGGGGATTCACAAGGAAATCCTTCATTTCAGGCCGGAAGTGCACGTTTTTGCAACGTACAGGTCTGCTCTGCCAGGTCCTGACTTTGACCTTTCGGAAGACTTTTTGTGGGGGATGGCAGCAGAGTTGCGCTTCTGATCGGGTCGCAGTGGCTCCCCAGTCCGATGAGCTGCAGACTTCGGTCCCAATCCCAGGGTACCAAACGCACCAAGGACGGCACTTGGGCCGGGCACTGAAGGTTTGCCTTTCCCTGTGTGTCTTGGGCAGTTTTGAGATTTGTTGTTTTCCAATGACAGCTTGCAACTTTATATGGTTCAAGCCTGGACAACCCCAAGAATCTCCACTACATCCACCAGCTTTTCCTAATACATACAAAGCACCGCGACAGCCTGTTTCGTTCAACAGCTCATGCAATGGTCCAAGAATCCCAGGATAGAAGTGACGGCACCTCCGGAGTTCTCGGCGGACTCTTGGCATCTTCATCGGCGTTGCAGTTCATGTTCATGCTTTGCGGAAGTCTTTGGCCTCGGCACGGTGCACTCAAGACGCCCGAACCCCACTGTAGACTTGAGCCTTGAGGACACAAACTCCCACTTGCTGTCTTGCGCTGGCCTTGTCAGCCGTCAGGTGCCAGACCTGTTCTTGTTGCTTTCGTCCTGAGATAGTCCTGTTCGGATTAAAAACGTAAGACAACTACCCTTGTATTGAGTGTGTTGTTTTCGACTATTCTGTATTGTCATCGTCATAGGTACTGTAGCTGCTTGCAAGTCAAGGACCTCAGCGCGACGGCGGTGAGGCAGAAGTGGCGACAGAGAGCATCCGAGGACCGATCCAATCGCTTTCTGACTGACTGTTTAGCCTGATGGTGTTTGGGCCAGGCGAACCTACATTGTCCCTGGCCCTTTCTTCCCAGGTGCGGTGTTGCGAATCCTTCTTTTCCTCGACCTGTGCTAGCTTTCGCCAGTGCGCACCTTGAGAGCACCGGCAGCAAGTTTCGCTCAAGCGAAATTCGGCGTTTTTTGCGTGACTCCAGGGTGCATGTGCACTACGAAACGTGCCCTCAGTTCTGAAGCAGCTCGCCGCTAGGATGAGTTGGTGGAGCTGATGGGGAGCTGCTCGTCACGATTCACGCTTTGTTCTGGGACTTGTGTTTAATCGCGAGAACGTGAGCACGAGAACACATTAAAGACATACATTAGCAGTCTCGGGAACTCAGATATACCTGGACACAGGCAGTCTACTGTCAATACCATTAAGTACATTACACTGTAATCATTACACGTGAATATGTATGTGTACACCCATGCTTGCATACGTACGGGCATACATTCACACAAGCACATAAAAAGTTGCACGCACCTGCCTGCCTGCCTGCCTGCCTGCCTACGGACCTACCCAGCCACCCAGCCAGCCAGTCATCCATGCATGCATCCTTCTCCATCCATATCCGTCCATGCCCACCATCTCCATCCATGTTCATCTAATCCTGCTTTCATCCATCCGATGCATAGATTAGCATGCATGCCCACAAAAAAATCAAAACACAACAGAACATGACATGCGCACATACACGTGTAGACAGAGAGGGGCAGGGCGGCAGACTGACGGCCGACTGACAAATCGACCGAGACAGACAAATAGACAGATATAGGTGTGTCTCTGTGTGTGTGTGTGCGCTTGTGTGAGAGTACATGTGTCCAGGTTACGTTCGCGTACATTGTACATCTCCCCCTTTCCCGCTGTCCTTGCCCCTTCTGGGTCAAGTGTTTCTCGTCTTTGGGTCTCTAGATTTCAGGTCAAGCCGCCGCCCACTATATGGCGAGCCTGCGGCAGCAGTCTTGAGGTTGCCTGCCGGACAGGCTTTTCCTCCGCCTTCGACAACCGCTGATGCAATCAATCGGCTGACTGTTTCTTAGGGGGTTGTACAGTACGGCATCTGGGTGCCACGAATCTCCGGGTGGCTGTGATGCAGGCTCTCCTTCTGCAAGGTGACTATTGTGTACTGTAGCTCGTGTTCGAAGCCATGCTGGGCACTGGCACTTCGAAGAAGTCCACGCGCAGGCGTTCTGCCACCAGTGTGCTTCATAGAACCCTGCAGCACGGACTCCTCAGCACCCGATCAAACCTGCAAAGGAGATACTGACGTCCACTCTGTGCATACATTGACTGCTCTATCGGACTGTACAGGTTCCCCGAGGTGCGAGTCCAAAGCATGCTCGTTTGAAGATCAAGTTTATACACATCAAATCTTGAACTTCCTCATTTTACCAACACACATACTCCCTCCGCCCTGCCCCAGTCAGGAGGAGCCGCGCTGCGATTCCGCTGCCTCAAGCTTCAAACGAGACCTGGAGCCCATCCTAGCCGCGAGCCGAGGGTGAGGGCAGTCGTGTTGCAATTCCATCGTGGTTTCAGGGAGTCAGTGGCTCAAGGGAGTTTCAAATCCACGCAAACTTGGCTGCTTCGCAGCTACATTTCGCTCATGCTTGACAAGCTGCGAGATGCGAGCCAAAGAGGAGAATGAATTGGTGTTGGCAGACCTCATGCACGCAAGCTCAGGATGTCCAAGTTCTGGGGGCGGAGCTCCACGAGCTCAGGCAGGTCGTGCTGGGCTGGAGGAGGAGGATGCAGTAGCACGCAGGTTGAGGAGCACCGACTCGGAAGCAGAGCCCATGCCGTCCCCTTTTCACGTCGTCAAGATCGCCCACTGAGCCGCAAAAGACAAGACGACGGAGAATGTGCAAGGAGAGCAAGTGTTTTGGAGGCAGGTCCTGCTATGGAGGTGTATGGCCAGCAGACTACGGGTTGGGGGCGTGTCCGGCGGACCGGCAGTGACATCCGGGCCATACGCCCAACGCACGGATGCTCCGGGTTGCTTGCCTGAGCGGAGCGGAAAGTGTTCGAGGTCTAGAGTCCAGACCTCGAACATTTGCCGCTGAGGCAAGTGCCCCAGCCTTTACGGCACGATCTTTTTGAATCTCGCTGACGGCAGCAGGTGGGTGGGGTTTCTCCAAAACCAGCTCCGGAATTTTCTGCGAGCCGGCGGGGATGCAGTGGCATGGACAAGCCAGGACAACGAGGACCGCGGATGGAAAGACCGTGAGAATTGGTCTTGGAGCGATAGTGGACGGCAAATGATCAGGGTTGGTGGAAGATGCCAACGATGTAGGAAGAAGAATGCTCCGACGTGACGTAAGCGCGTGCCATGCACATGCCTATTGCATTGGTTTTTATGGCCTTTCATACACTTCAGGGGCCGAAACCCTCGGTGGCGTCGGCAATTTATGCATCTGGATTTTCACGTATTCGCAAGTGCCGAACACATCGGAATCTGCGCAGTTTTTGGTGTTTTCCATGTTTCAACGGACACAAGATATGGCTTTGCACGAGAGGGACAGATCTTTAATCTGTAGGCTGATTTTTGCAACAAATGCTGTAAATTACAGCACGTCGCGTTGCACGAGAATTTGTGCTTGGCTGGTTTTCGCTGTTTCTACACAAGTTCCCGGGTATATTTTACAGGAATGCGGGCTTTGAATGCTTCGGGCATTTGCTTTGAATGCTTCAGGCATGTTACAGCTACTGGCTATGCCCCAAAATGGAAATGCAAGTACACTGTACTTATGTCGGTGTCGAAGACAGGCGAAGGCAAGGAAACACGGCAGAGAGCGAACAAGGTTTTTTTGTCCTCCGACGAAGTTCAATGACGGAGCTATCGCCCACCCCCACCACCCCACCCACCCCCGACAACAATCCTGGCCATGGTTCCTCCCCCCGCCCCCACACAGTCCTGGCTATGTGTTCTCCCATTCCCACGTCGCAACAGATCGCGTGCATTAGTAAGTCTTGGCTGTGGATTCGCTGTTTCCCAGCTCACACTCCTGCACTTAAGGCGGCCAAAGAGAGGCAACACCGTAAAGTGTTCACCACCCGAAGGCAAGGAAAAAAGCCACCCAAACAGAGGAAACACCATCCGAAGGCAGGGAAACGCCTCAGGTACCGAGGTTTCTCCGAATTCGGAGAAACGAGGAACTGCAGACACAGCATTCGAGAGTAGGAACTGCTGCAAAAACCGATGCAATCGGCACGTGCGGGGCGCAAATTTACGTCACATCGGTGCCAAGGACAAGCATTGAGGACTGCCTGGCTGGTGATGGGGTGCTGCTAGCCGTCGTGCATGTCAGGAACAGAATTTTGCCAGCTCGGCACAATTCGACATGCCTCGTGTCAGGCCTATGCACCAAGTTGAGCACCATGTATAGCAGGTTGCACCGTGCAAGGAGCTCGACTCTGAGCTTTTTCAAAAACGGGGCTTCAGTCCAGCATGCCCACCTTGACCTCGCCGGTTGAGACTTGCACCGGCACGCAGCAAGGGAAGCACCCGAACACGCTTGGGGCATGGCACCAAAACCGAACTTTATTTTCCTACGCAGCGAGGATCCAAAGCAGCAAAACTTAGCATCTTCGAGTATACTTCAATAGACAATTTTTGGGCTCTGGGACCATCAACCCCCAAAACCTGATCTTGTGCTTGAACCAAAGATCTACTATTTCCTATGCAGCAGCAAAAGTCTAGGTATCGATGATGTTCCAATAGAAAACTTAGACTTTTGGAACAACGAACCTCTCAAATCCAGACTTCGTGCTCAAGCCATACCAAATAAACAAAAATATCTTTCTGATTTCCTATGCAGCGAGGACCCAAAGCAACAAAATTGCCTGCATATTTTCCAATAGAAACTGAGACTTTGGGACAACCAGCCCCCGAAAACCATAATTTGTGCTTAAACCATACTGTACCACCCGAATAACTCAAAAAAATACTGTCTTTTCTAGTGTCTAAGGTGTAGGAAATAAACCAAACCAGCGAGGCTGAGCTTGGTGAACATGTACCCAAATTAGCGAACTCACCCGAGGGCGTGCTGATTCAGGCAGACCTTGTGGAATCAAGTATCAGGTTTTGTTTGACCAATCACTTCATGTGGTTGTAGTTGCGGTTGTGGTGATCATCTTCTATAAATGCTCTGAAATGCTCTCACATGTTGGGAAACTCACGAGCCCGGTGAGCTGAGACCGATGCCTTGCAAAACTCGGTGGAGGACTCCCCTGGCTTGCGATCTTGAGAGGGGCCGGGCGGCCAGGGTCAAGGGTTAGTGTTTCGGGAGTGACTGCGAGTGGCTATGGTATTGAAGCTTTGGATTTATTTGGTTTGGGTTTGTGGTTGAGTCCGTTTGAGATTTGAGACGTGGACATTGCTTCTTTTTGGTTCAGGCTTGTTGCCACTGCAATTGGCCCACATTGGCCCGACGGTGCCGATTAGTGAATCAGCGGGGAAGACTCATTCAGGAAGCTTCAGGAAGCCTGGCAGCCTGTAGCAAAAAATAGCTGACCGTTCGCAAGCAGGAGCATGTCCTGACTCTCCGCACACCACCGGCTCAGGCCTGGATATTGTACCGTAGCTTTGCCAGGTGCTTGAAGAAATCAAGGGAGCTTGAGTGTGCTTTCGTTTCGCATCGCTGGGCTTCGAAGCTGCAATGATCAGACTGCGCAGGTATGCAATAGGGAACTAGCAAACAAAGGTACAACCTCTGATGGTAACTTATAGCAACCAGACATCTGAAGAGAGATGACAGGGGCCAGATTGGACCGGCTTTTTGGAACTAGTCCTCACCTGTGTTCCATGCCCTTTCCGTTTGAGCTGTGCGCGGCCAGCCGGGCTCGGAGCGAGGATGGCAAGTGCATCAGGTGCCACCCCAGAGTGTGCTGTGAAGTCAGACCTGAGCAAACAGAGCTGGTGGTGCACCGGACTATGCCTGGGGTCTCTGTTTTCGCCGAAGCTGCCGAAGCTGCAACGCTTGGTTCTGGCGTGGACGAGGTGTTGTCTCACCATGTCCTGGACTGTTTGCAGGGCAGCTGGTACAGGCAAGCGGACGGAATGCACGTAGGCGCAGTATCTGGCTCGTTTCTTGAGGTCAGCGCAAGCTGGCTGCCCCACGTGACGACCTGCCGACTACCTCAAAACATCACTGACACCTTGAAGCTCTCCGTCGATGGAGAAAGTATTTACGGTTGCATCCGCCTAGAGGCGCAGTACTCTATTACCTGGAGCAACGGGGATGTGTGGCTCAAGAAGTGACTGCCCGGATGGCGAAGTAGCCCAAAGGCGAGGAGGGAAGGGGTCAGCAGAGAGAGCCTTTACAATAGACATCACAAGACGTCGTGCGAACATAACAACACTGTCGACTAGAACCGTAGGCTATTGGTTCTCATCGCAGGACTTGTTTGCGTATTGGCTCGCGCCATAACGAAGTGTGGGGGCAGAAAGTGCCTGGCCGTGGCCCACACAAGTACAATAGCAGCTTGTTTCCTTACGTTTCACGGACATGGCGTCGAGCAATGTCTGGAGCCAAAACAGGAATCATTCGGCCTACTTCCCACCCGACAGCACTGTGCTGCTGTGAGATGAGTGCAACAAGCAGTTCGGCATGACCGTGGCAGTTGAAGCACCAAGACATGCGCTCAAGTGGTCAGTTGAAGCGGCAAGCTCTGTGGTGAAATTTTCGACGGGGTCAGGAGCTTCTATGCAGATTCGCATTTCGGAATTTCGGGGCTGAGAGAATTGCAAGCCTCAAGCCTTTCTCGTGAGATGTCCCCAGATCCAAGCACAGGTCGGTAGCCACTCGTGTGAGCACGGCGTGGACTCCTGGTGTGACTTGGCTTTGTCCGAGGCACCAGCTTCTCGCTGCGTGCCGTGCGACTCGTCGCTACGTGCCTATGGCATACTGCACCTGCTCAGACTAACTGTCGGATAGTCAACAAAACCTCTCCGATTCATGCTGTTC